ATATATACTACTTAGTATTTGTAATATATTTACAAAGTTATTTTTCAAATAGACTTTATTTCCACATTACAAATTAGAAATGATATTTATTTAAATTTAAATCAAATTAATTTATTACATTAAAAATTACTTCTCAAATATATATATATATATACAAAATAACATATTCTTATTATTATTTTTTATACAAACTAAATATGAAATCTAACAGAAGTAAGAAAAGATAGAAAATGATTGATTCAAATGAACTATACAAGCCGAACAAGAAGAAGAAGAAGAAGAATATGAAGAGACCTTCATAAATGAAAAGAAGCATAGACATATACTATGCTTCATTAAAGATCTCATAACTCTAATTTAAGTTACTTGGAAATAACTAACACATTAGTATGATACAGACAGGTTGCCTTATAAAATCGTTTGCGTAACTCGATTGAAAATACAGTTGTGTTTCCGCTTGTTTAATCTTAGATCGTATCTCTCCTCATTCGTGTTTTACAATTAGACTGACTCGTGCCAATGTTTAGATGACGTTTTTCTATCTCTCGAAGGCTAACGAACAAAAAAAATTAAAAATAACAAAACAAAACAAAACAAAAAACAGATATATAACATCATCCGTTTCATTTTCATGTAATTGGTTTTTTTTTTTTTTTTAATTCGATATCATTCATAATTTCACCTACGAGTAAAACAACAACAAAAAATGAACAATAAATTTATTCGTAAGATAACAGACAGGAAAAAATAAAAAAAATAAAAATAAAAAGCTTTTATCATTTCAATAATCATCGATTATTCTTAAATTTATGATAAATCATTTTATGATAATTAGATCTTGATCGCGTGTTTGTCGTTAGATCATATAGAATAAATATAATAAAATAAAATAGAAAAAAAAATAAAAAATTAGAATAAATTAGAATGAGAGTAAACTAGATAAGTAGAGATTATAATAGATGAGGAAAATAACTAGAAGAGAATATTATTTACATTTTACAACTACGTATTCATTATAACGATTACAAAGTGAAATCGTATAAGAGGCGTCTAACTGTCTGGGCAAGCAAATCTCACACACTGGCTGTCGTCCAAAGACCAACAACGAGATAGTCTCTCAATCATTCGTATAATTTACTTCAATAGTGTGAAAAAAAAAATAATAATATACATGAAAATGAAAATGAAAATGAAAATGAAAATATTATCTCAATGTCTAATAACAAGAATAAACATTTAATACGTTAAATATGAATTTTCATTTATTCTATTTGATTTATGTATTTTTTTTTCTTTTCTTTTTATTTAACATTAATAATAAATTTTGTAAATGTAAGAAAAAAAAAAATAATAAATAAATCGTTGTTGTATCATAAGTAATATAAATAGAAATTTAAAAAAAAAAAAAACAAGAGCAAAAAGAAATTCATCCCTGGTGGGGATCGAACCCACGACCTTTGGATTAGAAGTCCAACGCGCTATCCTCTGCGCCACAGGGACTTGATGACAAGTGTTGCGTATCGACAATATTTCAGAAAAAAACTTCATTTTAACCTTTTCTCACTAGATGTCGCCACTATTACCATTCAATGTATGCAGTAGCGTATCATAGTAAAAGAATGATAAAAATGTGAACGACATTTTTTTTTCTTAAACATTTAACATATTAAACATAATAGTAATAGTAAATTCATACAGTTTTTCTAGCATTTCATTAACTTTACTATCTTTTTCCTATCAAGTGTATATAAAATAAAGATTAAAATCAATATCTAATCCAATGTTTATAAATTTTATAATTACTTGAAATTAAGGTTATGTGCAATATCGTGTAATGCAATATATGTAAAACAAAAACTGTTTATAGGTAAAAAGTGTACAAAATTTTAATATATTCTTAAATTTATAAAATTTATTAAAAAAATCATAAGTAAACATGGACATTTTTAAGATGACATTTAAACGTGGGCCATTAATGATACATCCCTGAGTTGCAAGTGTTGCAAATCCGTAGGAACGGAACGATCAACACAGAGGGAACCAAACCGAAGTATAGACTCTACAGGAGTATTTAGTTATATATATACATACATATAAATACATATGTATGTATGTATGTAGAAGTACTACATGTATGCATCTGTTTCTGTCTGTCTCTCTCTCTCTCTCTCTTTCTCTTTCTCTTTCTCCTTCTGCCTATCACCTTTCCAAACGATTGATCTATCCTAGTCTCTGTGGCGCTCGTCGACGAAGCATCATAAACAAAGTGCATGTTGCCCTGTGCCTAACATACATGTAATAATAAATGTGACTGTATGTGCAAGTGCAAATGTAGCGTGTGTGTGTGTGTATATATATATATGTGTGTGTTGCAGCAAGGAGACGCGTCGAGCGTCGTTGTCATTTTGCGTGGTTCCTCGAAGAGTGTGTATAATAAAGGATAAGAACACAATTGCACGGATTGTCATTTGACGTTCATCGAACAGTGAATAAAAGAACGTAATTATTAATAATAATAATAATAAGAAGAAGAAGAAGAAGAAGAAAAAGAGAGAGAGAAAAGTAGTAAGAAAAATGGGAAGGAAAACGACGAAAACGAAAATGAAGTATTTCGAGGGAAACAGAGAGAGGGAAAGAGAGTGAGTCGAGTGGAACCAAAAAAGAAAAGGATAGAAAAGTAAAAGGAAGAAAAGAAAAGGAAAGAAAGAAAAGGAAGAGACGCGTGTGTTGTGATTTCTGTGCGCGCGTAAGAGAGAGAGAGAGAGAGAGAGAGAAAAGTGGATGAGATCTAGAGAGAAAGAGGGGAAGAACAAGATGGCGGGCGAGAAACATATGACAAAGAACGGCGGACTACCGCCGTGGCCGAGGGCGATGTTCGCTCGGTTGTTCCTCGTCTCTGGGTATTGCTGATCCTGGATATATACAGGTTTTTTCTGGGCTAGATAAAGGGGTGTTTTTTTGGCACCGGTAGTGGTGTTCCTTTCGAACGGGAGTTTTCTATAGAAAACGAGAAAGAAAGGAAGAGCGAGCAAGAGGGGAAATAGTGTGTGTACGTGTGTAAGAGAGAGAAAGAGAGAGAGAGAGAGAGGGTTAGATATAAGGGGTGGAAGAAAAGGTAGATAGATATATAGAGTGAGGGAAGCAAGGGGGGAATCGTGACTGCCAAGAGAGTCGGTGATCCTGTGACCGAAGGAGCCATGACTACGCGTGGAGAATGGGCTCGATCGCATCGGTGTTGCAATGGCATTGCTCGGAGTGCGCTCTGATAAATCCAACGGAGAGCGCCCGATGCGCCAGGTGCGGCCTGGCACGAATCAGGAGCGATGACGAAAGGGCTAACAGACGACTCAGCACCGGAGGAGAGGAGTTGAATTCCGAGCGCGGGGAACCTCCTCCGCGCCGGATGAGACAGTTACGTCGTAAGGAGGGGAAGAAAGACCTCGAGGAAGAAGAAGAAGGAGAAGGGGAAGAAGAGGAAGAAGAACGGGCCCAGGAGGAACCGGTGCCACTGGAGGACCAGGAGGAAAAAGGGGGAATTCAACCCGCCGAAGAGGAAGCTATTGCTATTGCTAATGCTGCTTCTTCTTCTTCTTCATCATCGTCCTCCTCCTCGCCGTCGTCCTCATCCTCTTCCTCGTCGTCGTCGTCGTCATCGTCGTCGTCGCCGTCGTCCTCGGAATCCTTACCACCTACTCCACCACCGAGACTCAACTTTCACAGACTCTGTACCACTAACACTGCTACCACCACTACCATCACCACCACCACCACAACCACCACCATCACCACCATTGCTGAGAATCATCCAACAACAACTGATCACGAGGATACCACCATCGTCCGCGAGCCCAACGATTCCCTTGCAGTAGGCTTTTTTCAACGGTGAGGAGATCTCGTTCCCTCACCATTTTACCCTATTTGTTTTTATTTATTTTTTCTTTTTTTTCTTTTTTATATATTTTTTTCTCTTCGTTCTTGCCAACTCGATGTCTGGTTCCATCTGTTTATCGATGGAAGATTCTTCCCTGCTATGAAAACATTGCACGCAGTACCTTGTTTATATCTTATAGAAGAGAACTATGATCAACAAATCTTGTTATGATCCTGGCAATGAAATTATATTTAGGATGCACACATATTCTTTCATGGTATTATTGTTTTTGAATTCTATATTTACATCTTTGTTGTCATAGGAATAACCGATATTCATTGTACCTATGACAACTTCTTGTTCCTTTATTGTTTTACTTTGGCACACACGAATGTATTATTGTCAATTTTATTTCGAACAAACCGTTGGCGTATTGTAGATTATTTATTTTATATTTTTTTCTTATCTATACCTCTTTCCAAAGATTTCTTCAAAGACAATTCTAACTATTATTTGTTAATGTTTAATAGACATCTTTTGTTTCTATTTATTTTGTAGCATTCGTAAGAATTCGTCTGTATCCAATGCTCTTAAGAAGAGATCACATTATGGTTCATGGAGTGGGAATATATCCGACAAAGAGCCACTTAAACGATCCACTTCTGTACCTTCCTTAGTGACACGGTGGACCTGCATTCGTTGTTTGTTGGATAATAGTTGTAGCTCCACATTGGTTTGTGCGGCCTGTGATGCTAGTTTTTCTATAGCCCAGCTCGACGAAAGACACATTGGAAGGGCAAGGAAGGGCAAAAAACTGAATCAGTGTAAAATCAAACAAGAACCTAAAGTAGAATTGTTGAAAAATGCAGTATTTGGAAATTTGAGTAAAAATTTGAACGCTGGCTATAGTATAACGTATGCTCCTGCTAATGCAAAGAGAGTTTATAACAAAGGTAATTAATATTTAAATGATGATTGTAATTTATATGATTGAATGATGTTAATAATTTGAATTTATTTAGGTATGGCACAATTGACAAGTATCAGTCGCAGTGAAAGAGGAAGAAACGTACGCGAGGAGTGGACATTACCTACACTCGAAACGATGGATCCAACGTCGCTTCCCTATTCAGATAATGCAGAAACTTCTCAACGTTCTCCAAAACGTCACAGTCCTTCTATGTACGAAAGAGTTAAATCCAAAGTGAGTCGTTCTTTGTCTAATGGCTCAGTTGTGCAAAAGCTCTCCGATCTTGTTATTCAAAGACCCACCAGCTTAGTAGTGTCAGAAGCACAAGATGATGCCTTGTGGAGTTGCGATAATTGTACTCTCGATAATGCATCTGGATTGGAGCAATGCGAGGCGTGTGAAGCACCTAGAAGCCCAGCACCGTGCAGTGGTGTTGTTATAAGTGTTCCTGCTTGGGAGACGCGTGCACTCTCTTCGGCAGGTCCACTATCTTATAGACGATCTTTCTCTGATGTTAATTCTATTACAAATGTTACTCAGAGGAAGACCATTAATCGTAGGAGTCTTAATGACGAAGAACCACCAGCGGTACCTCCACATTCCATTGGTTTCACTTCAAAACCAAAGTATTCTTATATAGGTATCAGCGAGCCTGACGTTCCACCACCATTGCCAAAGAAGCAAAGCAGCAAATTAGGTTTACTAGCCACCAAGGCACATAGCGAAGCTACCAGTCCTGTTAGTGATGTAGCCAGTGTGAGTCCTTTAAAACGTATGTGGACGTGTCAAAAGTGTTCTTATGCCTACAATCCCCTGTGGTCTGTGGCTTGCGATATTTGTGGTTCCCCTAGATCACCACCTTCTCTCACGCAACCTAGTTTAATAACCGTGACGAAGGATGGAGCTAGTTGTCCTATGCGAGTGCAGTCTCCCATAATAGTGTCACGAGACAGTGTCAGATATATCCCACCACCAAAGTCGGCTACCTTAGCTACTGCAGAGTCTGATTTGGACGATCAATTGGATCCTCCTTCTCCGGCCTGGACTTGTAAGAAGTGTACATTACTTAATGCCGCTTCGCGTACCACATGCGAAGCATGCGGCGGCTCCAAACTTAAAAGCATCATGCACTTAGAAGACGCTACGTTAAGGAAAGGGGAGAGTTGGGTATGCCCCTCTTGTACATTAAGAAATCCGCTGTCAGCACAAACTTGTAATGCTTGTAAGACGTTAGCAGACTTTTTAGAAGTGCCCAAGGACAATAGAATTCAAGGACAAAGAAGTCCAAGTCCAAGACTTTGTCAACTTGCTAATTCAAAAGTTGTTACTCCAAGGTATAGAAATTCCGTACGAAGAAACGGTTCCTCGATAGCTGACAAGAGACATTCAAGATCCAAAGATCCAAGTCATACTCAAGTAAGAACTTTCTTTTGTTTTTGGGAGAGTAATGTTTTATATTTTCTATGCTCTTTTCTTTCTCTGATAATGTTATGTGATTTTGATTTTTCTAACTTTTACAGTGGCAATGTAAGTTGTGTACTTATGAAAATAAGAGTACAAATAGAACTTGCGAAATGTGCCAAAATTCGAAGACCTTATCCGAAGCATCAGGTGATAGACTTAGAATTATCGAGCCTGGCACTAGTACTCTTACAATGCAACGTCAGGAAAGTGTGGTGATGGAAAATTTAAGACAATTGGAGGAAAGAGAAGCATTAGAAAAATGGGAACGTATAGTACGTTATTGTAAAGAGGTAAATATTGAACCTTTATTCATTTGAATCAAGTTCAAAAATCCTAAACAAATTATCAAGTTTCTATTTAATACTTCAATATTTTGTTTAGACGAACGAGCCTTTCGTTGACGATTCATTTCCACCAGCTCCAAAATCTTTGTACTATAATCCCGCGGATACGAAAGATAATCACGTAGTTCAATGGAGAAGACCTCATCAAATAAATGTTGATTCGAGCGTAGATTCTAAACTGCCATGGGCTGTTTTTAGAACACCCTTGCCATCGGATATTTCGCAAGGAGTATTAGGAAATTGTTGGTTGCTTTCGGCATTAGCCGTATTGGCGGAAAGCGACGAACTTGTTAGAAGAGTTCTCGTCATGAGAGAAACGTGTCCTGAAGGAGCTTATCAAGTTAGATTATGTAAGGATGGAAAATGGACAACAGTATTGGTCGATGATCTCTTGCCGTGTGATAAAAGAGGCCACTTAGTTTATTCCCAAGCAAAAAGAAAACAATTGTGGGTACCGTTGATAGAAAAGGCTGTTGCTAAAATTCATGGCTGTTATGAAGCATTGGTATCTGGTAGAGCTATAGAAGGTTTAGCTACGTTAACCGGTGCACCATGCGAAAGTGTACCCTTGCAACCTTCGGCGTTACCAAGCGAAGATGAACTTGATAAGGATTTAATTTGGGCACAACTTTTGTCCTCGAGACAAGCTATGTTTTTGATGGGTGCTAGTTGTGGAGGTGGAAATATGAAGGTCGACGAAGAAGAGTATCAACGAAGAGGTTTAAGACCTAGGTTAGATACTTTAAACTTCATTTCCTAATCAAAAAACATAAATATATTATTTTAAATATTTCAATTGTTATTCCAGGCATGCGTATTCTGTTCTTGATGTACGTGACGTTCAGGTTAGTTACAAATTAATATTGTAATCATATTTGATTAAATAATTCAACTGAAATGGAATCATTTTCTTTAGGGAATACGTTTGTTGAGACTACGAAATCCTTGGGGTCATTACAGTTGGAAAGGAGATTGGTCTGACGATAGTCCAATATGGACACCGCAATTACGAGAAATGTTAATGCCTCATGGTGCTTCTGACGGTGTATTTTGGATTTCCTTTGACGATGTATTAAAATATTTCGATTGTATTGATATATGCAAGACGAGAGTTGGTTGGAGTGAAGTTAGATTACGTGGTACCCTCCCACCGTTGTCATCTCTGAGGCATTTATCATGTGTATTGTTAACGGTATTAGAACCAACCGAGACTGAGTTCACATTATTTCAAGAAGGTCAAAGGTAGGAATACAAATGATTATTTTGAACCTTGTTGTCTCTCTGTATGCGTATGTGTGTATCGAGTATAAAAAGAATTGAGTATACAAAATGTATTCTTAAGAATTGTTTCTTTCTTGTTTATTTTGTTTGATATCATACCATATAGGAATTCCGAAAAATCTCAACGTTCTCAGTTAGATCTATGTGTGGTTGTATTTCGTACACGATCACCAGCAGCACCAGAGGTGGGGAGATTGGTTGAGCATAGCAAACGGCAGGTACGAGGATTCGTTGGGTGTCACAAAATGTTAGAAAGAGATTTGTACATAGTCGTATGTTTGGCATTTAATCATTGGCATACCGGTATGGAGGACACGTCAAGTTATCCGGAATATGTTCTTGCAATACATAGCTCTAAAAGACTTTTAGTTGAACAAATTTCTCCTCCTGCGTTCGTTTTAGCCGATGCTATTATAAGTTTAACGTTAGCAAAAGGACAGCGACACGAGGTAAAGTACAAATTTGGCTTTGTTTTTTATTTTTAAATCTCTTAACTGAGTTATCATGAAATGTTTTTTCTGCATACAAATATGAATTAATCAAAGTTGTCTTTTTTTTTTTTTTTAGGGAAGAGAAGGTATGACAGCATATTATTTAACTAAAGGATGGGCTGGTTTGGTGGTAATGGTAGAAAATCGTCATGTTAATAAATGGATACATGTAAAATGTGACTGCCATGAAAGCTACAACGTTGTGTCCACAAGAGGACAGCTCAGAACTGCCGATAGTGTTCCCCCACTTCACAGGTCAATTATATTTCATAATGATTATATATATATATATATATATATATATTAGGTTGGCAAGGAAGTAATTTCGGCTTGCACCAATTGATAAAGTTATGTTTGTTTCATTATTCTTTTGTTAATGTTAGAATTTTGTTAACAACTGTTAGATTTTAGAAACAATTGAGTTTTATTTGCACACTAGAAAATTGAAATTACTTTCTTGCCAAGCCGAAATAATTAAATGAATTATTATATTTCAATTGTTATTTGTTTTTACAGACAAGTTATCATAGTCTTAACACAATTGGAAGGTAGCGGAGGTTTTTCAATAGCACATCGACTCACTCACCGATTAGCTAACAGTGGAAATTTGCACGATTGGGGACCACCCGATACCCAACATCATCCTCAAATAGATACTCAGGTCGAAGGTTTACACAGTCCTCGTTTAATCACGTGAAATTGAAAATAGTGTGTTTTACGACGACTGACTTTCGTTTAATACGCAGAGCAGCAGGGCCGCCGACCGACGCGTTTCAAGAAAAAAGATTTTAAAAAATAACAGGAAAAAAAAGTGTTCACTTTTGTTCCCACAACAACAACAACAACAACAACAACAAAAATATCTTTTAATATTATTACAATAAGGAAAATGAAAAGAACAAAGAAGCAACGTAAGTTGAAAGATTTCGATTAAAGAGAAAATGAAAAAGATTTCAAATGTTGAAATCAAAATTTCTCAAAAAGAACAACATCAATGAAAAATGAATGGAAGATAGAAAAAGTAATATTAAAAACAATTAAACGTAGGAAAAATTCTTCAAGGCATAGTTAAAAACATCTCAATCCCGGAATAATTAATAAAATAAAATAAAATAAAATAAAATAAATAAATAAATTTTGTGCTTTCTAAACTTGACGGTCTCAAATTCTCACGAAGAAGAAAAGAAAATTTGTCCTTAAGGGGACGCAGATAAATTATGCTCGGCAACGTAAACGACAGAATACAATAATTAGAAGAAGAAAGAATTAAATTAAATAAATAAATAAATAAAAAGGAAAAAAAAGAAGGAATTATAATAATAATAATTATAATAATTATAATAATAATAATAATAATAATAGTAATATTAATAATAATATTAATTATGATAGAGTTCACCGAAGTTAACAAATTGATAATATTTTCTTCTTTGCATTGATTGTATTGATTAATAAATTTCAATTTCGCGTTTTGAACGAGAAAGCACGTATTTTAAAAAAAATAAATCAATCAATAAAAGGAACATACAAACGAACAAAAGAAAACAAAAAAGGAAGAAAAAAATCGGGTGCTGATTATTATTATTATTAGAATATCCTCTGCTGCTGGAACCATTGATTCATAAAACAAACAAACATAATTTAAGAGAATAATAATAATAATAATAATAATAAAAAGAAAAATATTTATGCGAAGTAAACAAACAAACAAACAAATAAACAAAAAATAATACACACAAGTTGAAAAATCTAGAAGTTGTTGCGTTGAGATCGATGCACGCTATCTTTTCAGATAATAATTACTGCCAAAGGTATATACAAAACAGATTTAAAAGAAAAATATATTAGAACACGCATTTAAAATAAAATATAAAATTAAAGAGAGAAAAAAAAATAAAAAATAAAAATACAAAAACAAAAATACAAAATACAAAAAGAAAAGAAGAAAAAGAGAAAATGATTGTGTTGTGTTTTTCAAAATGGACGGACGTTTGTCTCTTTTGCGTGTGCGTAGGGTGCAATAGCTTACACTTTACAATTTCACAGTAATTATATATATATATATATATATATATATATATATATATATTTCATTCAAACAACTTCTTTTGTAAAAATAGAAAAAGAAAAAATTACAGAATGAGTTTTCTTCTAAATATAATAATATGAAAATAAAAAAATGATAATAAAAAAATGTTTGCACTTTTATCTATTTTTATTATTATTATTATTATTATTATTATCTTCTAGCATATATTTCATTTGAAAATAACCAAAAGTGTTGGTGGTGTGCATTAATATCAACGAAACGGCTTGTGTAACGACACACACACCCACACACACACTCTTTTTGCTTGTTGATAACCAAACCCCACAAAAAAAAAAAACAAATAAATAAATAAAGAAAAGAATAAATATGAAAGAAAAAGAAGAAGAAAAAGAATAAGAATTATTTTCTCAACTTAACATTTAAGCATCTCATTCATAAGAAATGAAATGACAAGTATAAGAATTACAAAAATAAAAAGGAAAAATACAAAACCTAATAAATGAAAAATAAAAATAAAGTAATAATATAATGTAAAGATTAAAAAAAAAAAAAAAAAAAAAAAAAAAAAAAAAAAAAATGATAACTTTTAGAATTCATAATAATAAGGATTTATGAGAAAAGAGCACACAATGATGATTGATGATGATGATGCATAATTATAATTAATAAACTACGATTAAAAAAAAAAACAAACAAACAAACAACAACAACATTGTTTTTTGGAATTGCTTCGAGTTTTTGCTTACAACAAAAAAAAAAAAAAAAAAGAACGTTAACGTAATAAAATGTTAATTAGAAATGATAAATACGATTTTCAACAATTTCTCATTTCTCCTCACTGTGTTTGCCTATCGTGCATTTATATCGCTGAGAGAGAGAGAGAGAGAGAGAGAGAGAGAGAGAGAGAGAGAGAATTGCTTTTACATTAAATAAAAATAATAATAATAATAATGATGATGATGATGATGATGATGATGATGATGATGATAATTATGAAGATAACGATAATGACAATGACGAGATTATGATAATGATAATTATGATGAAGATGATGATGATGATGATGATTGAAGCTCATCCGCGACATGTACAAATGTAAGGAGGAGAAGATGAACTTTTGAAAGAAAAAAAAAACAAAGTTCTCTTGAAATTCATTCATTGAGATTATTAATTCTAGGCGTGTCGTTTAACTTGCCCAACATTATTTGTAGCTTTTCATCTATTTATACGTGGATAATGATGATGATGATGATGATGATGATGATGATGATGATGATGATGCAGTGCTTTAATTTATTCAAATTTTGTGGTAGCACATTGCTACAGAACCAAAGACACAACCCCTTCCTCCTCCTCCTCCTCCCTTACCCCCTTACCCCTCCTTTCCCACCCTTGTTTTAGGAATATTAAAACGATGTTAATAAATATGTAATATTATTATTAACGCGTTCACTGCCATTCTATGCAATTTATCTTTATTTCACAATTGCGTTTGTATATTTGATTTGATTTTTGATTTTGTTGTCGTTGTTGTTGTTGTTGTTGTTGTTCTTGTTCATTTTTAATTGTATTTATTTTGTGTGCTTGTTTTACTCGCTCTCTCTCTCTCTCTCTCTCTCTTTCTCTCTTGCTCTCTCTTTTGCTCTCTTTTTATTTAATTTATTTTTATTACATTTGAATGATTGAAAAGGAAACAGGGGGGGGGGTAGGAGGGGGGTACAAGTAATTCTGTACTTTTTTCTCATCACATTAAAAACACAAGAATGGTATTATACTTGTATTTCTTTTCCTTTTCAAGCTACTCAATTTTTGAATGATTTTTAAATTAGATCAATAATAATAATAATAATAAATAAATAAATTTGTTAAAAGTATTATCGTAATAATCTAAACGTAATTTTGTACACACACTTATGCAAAAGTGTATGTAACACATTCCCTAGTAGCAGAAAAATATTGAAAAAAAAAAAAATATTCAATACACATGTGTATTTAATATTTAACACGTTTCGTGTCACGTGTATCCCACCGGTGGTACACGTTAAACTTGTTCTTCAGGTCACGTGTACCATCGGTGGTACACTTACCATTTTATGCATTGAAAATATATGTTTATAATAAATTGAATTGTGTAAAAAAAAAGTATTCCTATGAAAATATACAAAATGGAGTATAGAACAAAGTAGTAAATAAGTTTGTTTAATTGTTATATATTTACAATAATTAATAATTACATGGTAATGCGATTGTTGGATTTTGTTAAAGCAAAATAAAATGGCCTGAGTGACTAGTCAGATATAAAAAGGGGCTTCTTGGCACGTAACGTGTTAAAATACATTGTAAATCTCTTTGTAATATTAAATACACATGATGTATTCAATATTTGTCAATATTTTGTGCTATAACTAGAGGCTTGATTATTTACTAATAAGTAATCATTGTGTAATAGCAAGTATGGCAGTTAGCGATGTTACAAAAATCGAATTTATGCTAATAATTTATATTACGCGAGTCACAACACACAGTTCTCCTCTTACATTTATATTTATTTTAAACATATTTTATATATATATATATTCCTAAAGAATCAACAGTGCCGCCGCTAATTCACAAGATGAAGAAAAAGAAAAAGAAGAAGAAGAAGAAGAAGAAGAAGAAAAATGGAAAGAAAAAGGGGAAGAATAAAGAAAAGCAAAAGAAGAAAAGATTAGAGCACACGTTAATAAAATTAATTTTTTGTTGATTCATAAATTTGTAATAATAAAAATCTAAAAAGATAATTTGTTTTAGGAACCACGTTTTAGAGTATGTCCTATTATTATACACATACATACATACATACATACATACATGCATACATAAATTACACAAATAATACATTAATATGTATTTACCGATATAGACAAGAAAAAACAAACAAACAATAAAAATATAAAATAACAAAAAAGAAATAAGCATTTTGTGATCTTCGACGAGTTGAAGAAGAAGAAATTTTCATTCTCATCATAGCTTATATTAATATATATATATATATATATATATATAATATCATTTTCCATTATAAAAAAAAAAAAATTACAAATAAAAACAAACAAACAAATGGAAAATCGTTACGATCTAACATGGCATTGCCTTTTGTATCGCGAAATAAATAATTAAATAAATAAATAAACAAAAACAAATGTTAACTTGCAATAATGACACGAAGAAAAATAAAACAAACAAACAAATTGTTCTCCTCTTCTACGTTCGATTTTAACAAAAAAAAAAAAAAATCGATTATTATTAATTAGCAATTTAAGAATTGTTATTGAAAAAAAAAAAAAAATAATAAAAAATAAAATATTAAAACATCGTCGAATCGATAAACCGTGTATTTTCACCGAGAGATTTATTTACATTGCATACAACAAAACACACAACATACATACATACATTTTACACAAATTTAACAAACAAACAAAAAACAAAAATTTTAAATTAAATGTAAAGTCAAGAGAAGAAGAAGAAGAAGAAGAAGAAGAAGAACACAAAATTAATAAGGGAAATAATAAAACACCATAAAAAAAATAGATGTTTGTAAAAGTATGGGAGAAAAGAATAAATGTAAGAAACGTTTTCGATATTACTCAAACGCTATAATAATAATAATAATAATAGTAATAATGATAATATAATAATAATAATAATAATAATAATAATAATAATAATTTTATGTATAACGAGTCTAAGGAAGAAATATTTATTAAAAAGTTCGAATATATGTAAAACTTCTTTCTTTCTTTTTTTTTTCTTTTTTTCTTTCTTTTTTTTATATAACATTTTCTTTTTAAAGAAAAAATTTTCAAATTATTAATAATTAGATCAATTAAATGAATCTCATCATTTTGTAATATTTCAATACCAAAAATGTATATAAATAAAATTATATATATATATATAATATAATATAGTAGATTATATTTATATAATATTATTATAATTATAGTAATATTATAATTTATAAAATTAAATATAATTTATAATATTATATATAATATATTATAAATATATATTTAATTTTATAATATATAATTTTATTTATATACATTTTTGGTATTGAAATATTACAAAATGATGAGATTCATTTAATTGATCTAATTATTAATAATTTGAATGATTGTACTATGATTTTGCATAAACTTGATCTAATTTGTTCAAATATCATTTTCTGCACTCAATGAAGAATACCGTGATGT